CTCCGGCAGCGACGCGTACAGCCTGCGCGCGCTCAGGCGTCGCTAGCCGCTCCTCGAGTCGTCGAGCGAGACGCATGCGCTGTGTGTGTAAGCGGCGGGGGTGTCGGGTTTTGCTGGGCTTCCCCCGAACACTCCGTGGGCTCTGCCACGATGCGTCGGGACTTCTACAGCGGGAAGGGCCTCCCTGAAGGGCTGTTCCCCCCTCCGCTGGCAGAACAATGCAGGATATGGCACAAGCCTCCCTCCCTGCTGGCGAGAGCGCCTTGGTTCGGACACAATGCGGAGCTACGCCAGGACGCGCTGCTCTCTGCTTACGTACGGTGCTATAGGCTGTGCACTGCTTTTAGGAGTATCCGACATACTCTTCACCGAGGAAAACAGAACACAATGTTTAAATGAAAAATGAGAGAAAAAGAGGAATGAGCAAGGCCAAAGCAAACAGCCCCTCTATAACACGGGCATCAAAGCAGAAAGGAAGCATGTTTTGCCCAATTGTGGGAAGCAATTAATGATGTTCATGATAAGCTCTTACTTTATTTAGCAGGTATTTGTTTCTAAGTTACCCAAAATTGTTAGAGAATTTGAATCAAAGCCCTAAACTAGGATATCAGTAAACTTTAGTGATGCATAAGCCTTGTGTGCAGCTCTGCACCTGAGGCAATTTCACCCTTTGTATATTTAATTATTCAATTCAAAGTCTTTTAATATTTTATCTTGAGAAATGTTAGCTACAAAAAATTACTGAGTCTGTTCCTTATTTTTGAAATCCATAGCTTTTTGTGGAGTGCCATGTTTGTCATTTTCAGGGTAGCCCCTTCAGGGCAACTAACCCTGTTTGACCATCAAAACTGGCTCGGAAAGATCAAGATGAAAAGTTGGTAAATGCTAAAAGAATCCATGTGGAGCCCAGCACTTTCTGTCCAATCCTGGAACAAAAGAAAAAAAAAAAGGGCACGAAGTTCACACATTTGACCTCTTGTGGTGTATGTTGGTCATAAAATAGTTTGATTGGTTTTGTTTGAACAAACCCATCAGAAATCTATGTAAAGAGAATTTCATACAGCTATTTTTATTAGTCCTGAAATATATTTGTTCATTCTGAATGAGGAAGGGTTTTGGCATAAGAAGAATTAATTGTGCTTTGATTATAAAAGGAAAGATTTTAACTATAATTTGCTTACTAGCATAGAAGATATGATCAAGCTTTGAATCATCATCAGATACCTGCAGGACTATTATCATTTACAGAAGTATTATGAAATATATCATTGGAGTTTTATGAAAATCTATCAAGGTTTTATTTCAATGAAAAAGAATGACTTCTTATTTCAAGGGTCTGAACATAAAAAAAAAATATTTCAGTGTGCATATAGCGGGATAAATTACTTCAAATATATGAATTGCTGCTGTGATTCAGATAGTCTGAATTATTTTTGCCTGTAATGAGCATAAGTGAATCAAAAATGAAATGTCATCTAACATTCAGCAGATGATTTGTAACCAAGAGACAGAATCTATGGAATGATACATGAGATCATAAATTAATACTAATCAGTTATATTAGTGAGGAAATTTTTATAAATTTCTACCTCTGAAAAAAAATAACCTTTAATTGTCAGCAAAGGTCAGAAATCACAGTTCGTGTGATATGAAGATACAAATAAAGTATTCGTAATTCATGATACCATTAATGGATCATATTTCCTTTTGACACAGGCATTATTCCCATATTAAAGTAATGGCCAGATAAAATATTACTTTCTTATTTATGCATTTATATTCCATAAATATTTTGCAATGATTTCACACAGAATGAGATGACACAATAAAAGGTTCACAATGTGGTTTCCTCTCTTCTATTATTACTGAAATTTCTGCCTGAAAAATAGAAATAAATTCACATACATAAATTTGCTAGATTCTATTAAGCTAAAGCGCATAAACTTTTTTTTTTTTTTTTTTTTTTTTAGGAAGGAGGCTTCTAGGAATGACTTAACATTTGTGTCAAGACACTAGATTTCTGCAGCACTTCTCTTTACAAGCATTTTCAAGTGCTATAGGAGTGTTAAAATTGTAGAGATCACTTACTATTTAGACAATAATTCTGGTATTTGTGGCCTGCACTTCAAAATGTGACTCAGCCCTTTCTTAGCATGTATTCAGATTTTGGTTATGAAGGACACCAATACAAAATTAATACGCAGGAGGAAAAAATGCCTGAGAAAGGTCTAGACTTAAAATAAGGCTTCTGTCATCAGCTATTTTTTCCTGTGCAATGAGCAGCCGTATGTGCCCACACAGTCACTTCACTGTCGAATCTAGCTTACTGGATGTAAAACACTTGGAAATTGAGTATTTTAGAAATGAGTTATCAATCCACCATCCCTTGGAGCTGTTAGTGTTACCCATTTTCCAGTTGCTGTTCACAAAAGTTGTTCAACTTCACAGCTTTGTTGTGCTTCCTCTGTGGAAAATGAAAAAGGAACAAGGATAGGTTTGCTCCTTCATGAGAGACCATCTTCTAATGACTTAATGCATGGTCAGTTCCTTTACTTTTTGTCATGCTGAGTTGAAAGATGCAATTTTAACAGGGGAAACTAAAATGCATTTGTGAGGTTCAGGGGAAGCAATATTGCACCAGTACAAGAAGGGAGCTTCAATTTACCTCAGTGTTGTGAAATGGCTGCTAATAGAAAATATATCTGGTGACTGACACAGTTTCTGCACTTGTTCCACATAAATCAGAGTGTACAGCTGATTCAAGCAGAATTAAACATGTTGCTGTGTTCTTGGTAGGTTTATTATATGGTATTCATTTAAATACATAGCTAACTTATCCCTGTAAGGGGTTGATTGTGCTACCAATGTGTATGTGAATATACTGAAGAAGCTGCTACTCACACTCACATTTCTCTGCAGTTGAGTGTTTCCAGTTTTTTGAGACAGAGATTATGGATAAATTTTGAAGAGAAGTACTGGGATCTGTTGTATAATTGAGGGCTCTCTCTCTCTCTCTCTTTTTTTTTTCTCCTCTCCCCCTTCGTCTTGAAACTATTGCTTCCTTCTTCTCCTGGCAATCCCAAAGGGGAAAGAAGTCGTACTGATTTCTTAAAAAACTAAAAAACAAAACAAAAAGAAGAAAAAAAGCCACCACCGAAAGGGGTGGGCGGCATTAAAAATCATTTTCTAAGGATAAGTGCTAAATAAAGATTGTATTAGTCAACCTAACTACATTCTCCACTACATTTTTTCCTACTGAATTTCAAATATTTTTTTCTAACTCTTCACCCCCGTGAGGCAGCGGTAACTACCTTAAACGCCCTAAAAGGGCAGCAATAACGGTGCTGGAACTACAGGTGATTTTATCAAATTCACAGCTGCAACGCAGTGAAAGAGCCACTCTTCCGCCCGAAGGGGTTTCCTGGCAACACTATTTTGGCTCCCCTCCCTATGTTCGGGGAGAAGACCGCACTTTCTATCAAGACTGCGACGTTCTGTGTTTTAAAACCTACAACTTCAAACACAGTTTCAGGGACGGTGAAATAGGGGGGCAAAAGGGTCCCTGGGGCGGGTCCCGCGCCGCCTAACGGCCGCTTAACGGTCCTCCCACGCGCCGGGCGGC